GAGGTCCTAGCCAGAGCAGTTAGGCTAGAAAAAGAAATAAAGGGCATCCAAATAGGTAGGGAAGAAGTCAAAGTATCTCTGTTCGCAGATGATATGACCTTATACACAGAAAACCCCAAAGAATCCACAAGAAAAACTACTGGAACTAATAGAAGATTTCAGCACAGTTTCAGGATACAAGATAAACATACAAAAATCAGTTGGATTCCTTTACACCAATAAAGAGAACCTTGAAGAGGAAATCACCAAATCAATAGCCCCCAAGAAGATAAAATACTTAGGAATAAATCTAAACAGAGATGTAAAAGATCTTTACAGAGAATACTACAAGACACTACTGCAAGAAACTAAGAGAAAACTGCATAAGTGGAAAAATATACCTTGCTCATGGATAGGTAGACTCAACATGGTGAAAATGTCAATTCTACCCAAAGCAGTCTACAGATACAATGCAATTCCGATCCAAATTCTACCTGCATTTTTTAATGAGATGGAGAAACAAATCACCAACTTCATATGGAAAGGGAAGAGGCCCCAAATAAATAAAGCATTACTCAAGAAGAAGGACAAAGTGAGAGGCCTTACACTACCTGATTTTAGGACCTATTATACTACCACAGTAGTCAAGACAGCCTGGTACTGGTACAACAACAGATACATAGACCAATGGAACAGAGTTGAGAATCCAGATATCAGCTCATCCACCTATTAGCAACTAATATCTGACAAAGGCCAAAGTCCATTAATTGGGGAAAAGACAGTCTTTTTAACAAATGGTGCTGGCATAACTGGATATGTATATGTAAAAAACTGAAACAAGACCCATATCTCACACCATGTACAAAAACTAATTCAAAATGGATCAAAGACTTAAATATAAAATTGAAAACGATAAAGATCATGAAGAAAAAATAGGGACAACGGTAGGAGCCCTAATACATGGCATAAACACAATACGAACCATAAGTAACAATGCACAAGCACCAGATGAGAGACTAGATACATGGGAGCTCCTAAAAATCAAACACTTATGCTCATCAAAAGGTTTCACCAAAAGAGTAAAAAGACAACCTACAGACTGGGAAAAAATTTTTGGCTACAACAAATCCAATCAGCGTTTAATCTCTAAAATCTACAAGATACTGTAAAACCTCAACAGCAAAAAGACAACCCAATTAAAAAATGGGCAAAGGATATGAACAGGCACTTTGCCAAAGAAGATATTCAGGTGGCTAACAGACACATGAAGAAATGCTCACAATCATTAGCCATTAGAGAAACACAGATCAAAACTACAATGAGATATCATCTCACCCTAACAAGGCTAGCATACTCCAAAAAACACAAAATAACAAATGCTGGAGAGGTTGTGGAGAGACTGGAACACTTATACTCTGTCGGTGGGAATGTAAAATGGTACACCCACTTTGGAAATCGATTTGGCGCTTCCTTAAAAAGCTTGAAATAGAAGTACCATACGATCCAGCTATCCCGCTCCTTGGAATATATCCTAGAGAAACAGGAGCTGTCCCACTAGTAGATATATGCACACCCATGTTCATCGCAGCACTGTTCACAATAGGAAAAAGATGGAAGCAACCTAGGTGCCCATCAATGGATGAATGGATAAACAAACTATGGTATAGCCACCAGTGGAATATTATACAATGATAAAGAACAATGCTGAAGCCGTGAAACCGTATAACATTATGGAAGCTGGAACCTACTATGCTGAGTGAATTTAGTCGGTCACAGAAGGACAAATACTGTATAAGACCACTATTACAAGAACTCAAGAAAAGGTTTAAACACAGAAGACATTCTTTGATGGTTATGGGGGTGGGGAGGGAGGGTGAGGGTTATTCACTAACTAGATAGTGGATAAGAATCATCCTAGGTGAAGGAAGGACAGCACACACTACAGGGGAAGCCACCACAACTGGACTAAACCAAAGCTAAGAAGTTTCCTGAATACAATAAAATAATTTGAGGAGACAGAGTAGCAGGGGTAGGGGTCTGAGGACCATGATTTCAGGGGACATCTAGGTCAATTGGCATAACAAAGCTTATGAAGAACATGTTCTGCATCCTACTTTGGTCAGTGGCGTCTGGGGTCTTAAAAGCTTGCAAGCGGCCATCTAAGATGTATTAATTGGTCCTAACCACTTGGAGTAAAAGAGAACAAAGAACACCAAAGACACAAGGAAAGTATTAGCCCAAGAGACAGAATGGGCCACATAAACCAGACTTCATCAGCCTGAGACCAGACGAACTAGACGGTGCCCAGCTACCACCAATGAACAGGGAACACAACAGAGGGTCCCTGATGGAGCAGCAGAAAGATGGGATGAAGAGCTCAAATTCTAGTAAGAAGACCAGACTTAATGGTCTGACTGAGACTAGAGGCGTCCTGGAAATCATGGCCGCTGGACTCTCTATCAGCCCAGAACTAAAACAATTTCCGAGGCCAACTCTTCAGACAGGGATTGGACTGGACTGTGGGACATAAAGTGATACTCATGAAGAATGTCTCTTAGTCAAGTAGATACAAGAGACCAAAGGGGCAGCTTCTGTCCAGAGGGAGATGGGAAGGCAGAGAGTGTTAGCAGCCGGTTGAACGTTCATGGGGAATCAGGGGCGGAGGGGAGCAGTGTGCTGTCGCAGAATGGGGTGAGCGGTTGGGGTCTCACAACAATGTATGTAAAAAAAAATGTTTTTTGTATGGGAGACTAACTTGAAATGTAAACTTCATTTAATTACAACAATAAAAAAAGAAAAAAAGTGTTAAGAAATTTAAAAAAAAAGAACACCTTATGCTTGTGCATCAGGGACACATACAAGAAAATTAATAATGACCTTGATAACAATGTCCCAGAGTGACACAAATGGTTTGTGCTTGACTACTAACCTACCCGTTGGCAGCTCAAACCCCCTCAGTGGTACAGTGGTCTGACAATTTGCTTTCATAAAGATTATAGCCAAGAAAACCTTATGGAGCCTGTCTACTCTGTAACACATAGGGTCACCATGAGTCAGAATCAACTCAACAGCAGTAGGTTTGGTTGAGTTTTTGGTTACTTGATAGTGAAAAAAAAAAACTGAAAACAACCCAAATACCCTTTATCAGTAGGATAAATAAACTGTGGCATAATCATACAATGATATATGGCTGTGAAAACGAGATCACGGAAAGGCACACAAGGGCTTCTGAAGTGCTGGTGATGTGCTAGGTTTTAAGTCAAACAGACATTTCATGGGTCTTGTGATTATTCTTTAAATCATATATACATATTTTACATACTTGATTGTACATACATATTTCATCATAAAGCGTTTAAGTTCTGCTTCTCTCTAGTTTCTACCCACTGGTCATTTTTCTACTCTCTGTCCCTGCACAAAGTATGTCAAATCCTCTCAGAACCTGAACAAAAAGGGAAGAGTTACTGGGTCTCTTGTTTCCCCATTATCTCTAACACTCACACACCCCCATCCTCTACAGGTGCTTGCAGCCACAAGATGTTTTTATGCCCCTTCAATCCCCTATCACTCTTCTATGAGTATGGGTCTTAAAATCTGACACCCAAAACTGAATGCAAGGGTCCACATATGGTCTGACAGACACTGCAGTAAAACCTCTCTCTCTGGCTACCAGATTCATTGATGCAGCCTAAAAAGAGTGTTTTTGCAACTGTATCATACCGGTTACTCATACTGACCTTATCTTGATCTACTAAGATTCCTAGCACATTTCATACATGACACTGAAATACAGAAAGTTAGCTTTCTGGGCCAAAAGAATGGACTTCAACATTTTATCTTGTTAGGGTCATAAAACAAAACAAGACTAAACGGGTACACCAGCCCAGGGGCAAGGACTAGAAGGCAGGAGGGAACAGGAAAGCTGGTAATAGAGAACCCAAGGTCTAGAAGGGAGAGTGTTGCTATGTCATGGGGTTATTAACCAATGTTATAAAACAGTATGTGTACTGTTTAGTAAGAAGCTAGTTTGTTCTGTAAACCTTCATTTAAGATAAAATAAATTTTTTTTTAAATGTTATCTTGTTAGACCCAGCCCTTATAGCTTCTCTAGATACACAGACCCTTATTCTATCATCCATCCTCTGAGGAGTCCTCTGAGTTTTATGTACTTTAAATATTTCATCAGTTATCAATGGCATTGAAGTCACTGATAAACTGTTGAACAAGACCGAACCAAGGACAAAGACCTAAGCTGTATCATTAGAAGTCTTCTAAATTAATCCACCATTACTGCACTTTCTGGTTATAGTCATTCAATAGTTTATTAATCCTCCCTCATATTTCCTGAAGGATATTAACAGAAACTATTGTCAAACATATCACTAGGATCTAAAGAAACTGAATGCCTAGCTCTCTCTGGTCTTTCAGCATAGTAACGCTATTAAAATAGTACTGCTCTGTCATCTTGGACCATGATGAGGGCCAGACCACCCTTAGAGATGATAGATGGAGAAATGGAAGGAAGCTAGTCCCCAGCGACTTTGTGGAGCTGCTATTTCTACCCTGGGCTGACTATTGCCAGAATTCTTTTAACCGAAAGAGAAATAAACTACTTTGTATAAAGAAAAAAGAAGGTATTACTCTAATAGAGTTAAGTAATCCTGAAACCAAGAATCCAAGCCTGGAGACAATGAAGCAGGCCAACTACAGGATTTGCTTTTTTTTTCCAAATGCATTTAATTCTGTTCCAGCCCCAAAGAGGGGAAGGACCTAAATTTACAAAAAAAATAATAAAAATAAAAATTGCTCAAAAACCAAGCCATTAAAAAATTAAATCCCCTCCCTTGGCAATAAATACTGAACTGATATATACACATGAGGCTCAGAAAGGAAGTGAGAACAAGAACCTTGGGGACTCTGTCCCATAGCAAGATCCCAACACTTCTACCAACTCAATGCTCCTTGCCTAGAACAGAGAGAGCAGTGAAAGAGGCAGGAGAGACACAACAGGGGAGTGTGCAGCCCTGGAAGGAGCTCAAACATGATGACAGAAAGAGAGACAGAAGGGACATGGTGTGTCTTAATGGCAGAGGAAGGGAAAGTCTTCATTTAAAACATCCCTAACCCCACCCCGGATGAGTCACTGGATGTGGCTGGTCCAGCCGACAAGTCCTTTGAGCTTATCTCCTCGCCTCCACTCCCTCTATAGCTCCTGAGTCATGGAAGGTCATTCACACTGTGGCCGCGATGCTACTGTGGCAGCAGCCTGGCTGCTGGAGCCCTGAGGCTTCCCATTCACCACCAGCAGGAGGGGCGTCTCCACACGAACACTGGGAAAGGAATAGTCCTAGAAAAGACAGACACACACAGGTTCAATAAGATGGAAGAAACTCCAGCACACGGATATACCACCTGCAACTTCCTCCCTCTCCCACCCAATATATACACCCTTACCCCCTTTTCTCAAGGTTTACAATCTTCAGAAGGAAAACCTGGGGCAGGTAGGGTACTAACAGTGTCACAGAGAGAAGGGGACAATTCTCTGATTCCAAAAAAAAAGGTTTCTGGCACTGCCTAACAAAAGGATGCCTCTGGCTCTCACAGAATCTGCAGTGTGTATTGACAATTAACTAGATAAAGCTGCAAGCCACAGCAGTAGAAATTTAACCCTCACAATTTTAACCCTTAGAAATTCTTAGAAACTCAAAGCCCTCAATTAATCTACCAAATATAAGATGAAGTTACTTCTCCCTTTTATACCAACAGGAAAAAATGGAATGAGTGGTATTTTCCTAATTATAGAAAAAGTGTAAAGTTCACTTTACCAGTTCAAATTTATTTTAAGTTGCAAAGCACGTTGCTAAAAGATATCCATCAAAAAAAATCTATCATTCCACTGGAAGTAAGGAAGGGCTCCTTTAAGTCAAAATAAGGATGCAAATTAAAAAGTTCTTACAAATCTGCTTAAAAATAATCCTAACAGGAATATAGGCAAATGATAAAAACTTGCAATTTATAAAAAGGAATATAATTAATAAAGACATGAAATAATGTTCTACTTCACCAATCATCAAGAAATCAAATCAAATCAGTATTAATGCTATAATTTTCATGTAAAATTAACAAGTAATATTTCAAAGGTTTCTACCCAGAGTTGAAAACACTACAGGGAAAAATTACTCACACCCACTATTGGTAACAGTAACTAACTGGTATAACCTTCCAGAGAATAATTTTGCAATATATATCAAAAGACAGAATTCTGCAAACCTCTGGATCCAGTATTCTTCTTTAAAAATTCATTTATGGAAATAATCATGGATATGGACAAAGATGCAAAAATGTTTACTATGGTACTTTTTATAATAGGGCAAAATTGGAAATAATCTAGATCTGGGGTCATCAAACGTCTTTTGTAAACGGCCAGATAGTGAATCTTTCAGGCTTTGCAGGCCATACAGCCTCTGTCACATAACTGTTCAACTCTATCACTGTAGTGCAAAAGCAGCCACAGACAATAGTTCACAGAGGTGGCTGTGTTCCAGTAAAATTTTATTTATGCATCCTGAAATTTGAATTCCTTAAATTTTCACATGTCACAATATATTATTCTTTTACTGATTTTTTTTAATCACATAAAAATGTAAAAAGCATTCTTAGCTCATACGCCGCACAAAACAGGTGGCGGGCTAGATTTGGGTGATGGGCTATAGCTTGCCAATGTCTAATCTAGATGGTGAAAAGGTGTTTAAACACCTACCCTCATAAGATTTTTGTTAGGGTTAAATGAGACAATGAAGGTAGTAAAGCTCTTAGCACAGTGCCTAGCATTCAGTTACCCAAAACCAAAACCAAACACATTGCGTTGAGACAATTTCAACTCATAGTGACCCTATAGGACAGAGCAGAACTGCCCCAAAGAGTTTCCAAGCAGCAGCTGGTGGATTTGAACTGTCAACCTTTTGGTCAGCAGCTGAGCTTTTAACCACTGCACCACTAGGGCTCCAGCACTCAGTTAAGTGTTCTGTAAATGTTAACTATCATCATCATCACCACTACCACCATTACTAATACTATTATGTGTCAATTCAAAACAATGTTGTAGAGTATGTAAAAGCACAAAGGAATGTTCACAAACATTTATATATAGTATTCTACTCAAAATTTAAAATATATGTATGAATATGTGTATATATTTATGAAATGGAAAAAGACAGGGGTATATACACAAAACTGTTAACATCTGAGTGATGGTGTTTCCGTCCATTTTCTTTATTTCTTTTTCCTTACCAGTAGTTTCCCTTTTTAGTCAAAATAAAGAAATAAATAAAATTATATATATACACACACACATTACTTTTATACCTACATTTTTAAAAAGCAATAAACTTGGTTCCACTTCCAGAGCCTTTGAAGGAGGAGAGAAGCCTAGTCATCACTCACCTTTCCCTTGTGCTGAATGCGGTGGAGTCGAAGGTTGGGCTCAGGTATGGCCACAGAGTCCCCAATGAGCACTCCCCAGCTCTGCACCATGTTATACACCATTACTGCATAGCAAGGTCCATCTGAATCTACCAGGCCAAACGTACTGCCAAGTTAAGATGGGTTAAGGGGGAAGAAAAAGAGGAATGTGGACAGGAGAGAAGAGCAGAAACAATGGTTTTAAAATATTAGCAAAATAAAGGAATGCTTTTTCAGTTACTTATTTAGAAAACCTATGACAGTTCCCATCCCCCACTATGTACATCTGAGTCTTCATTTATTTTAGGTATTATATGTGCTTAGAGAACAAACACAAGACTCATCAATCTCATTTTGCCAAAAACACAGGACAAACACACACTAAGGCCATAATGATGAACTAGTCTAAAATTTTCCAGCTGAACTTTATTCCTGGCCTATCAATTTAACTATCACAACCTTCAGCAAACCCTCTATGACTGTCAATTTAATTCCACAGACCTTCCATGAACACTTACTATGTGTTGAGCATTGTGCTCAGCAGTAAGATACCTATCCCACTATGAGTGAGCGTACAGCCTAGCAAGAGTGAGACAATTTCACCTACAGTGCCATGTGACAGGTGCTAGAATAGCGTTATCCTTGTGCTGAATTCAGTGAAACTGAAGACTGGGCTGTAACAACCCAGAGTAGAAATGTCTAAATCAAAATTGCAAAGTAGGGAAGGTTTCCCTGAAGAGGTGACCCTTAAACTGAATCTTACAGGATAAAAAATTAGCTGGGTTAAAACAGGAAAACTAATCCTCAGTGGAAATAAAATTAAAAAAAAAAAAAACTTCGGCAGGATGGGGACAGTGACTGGGAAGAGGCAGGAGGGAACTTCCTGGAATGATACTAAAGCTCTATATTTTGATAGGGTTTGGGTTACACAGGTGTATGCATTTGTCAAAACTCAACAAATAGACACTTGAGATTTGTACATTTCACTGTATATAAATTTTGTATCAAAAGAAAAAATTGTAAACAAATACTGAACTCTAGTTAATGACTGTATGCTGAAGTATACTGATCTCTACAATTTACTTTAAAATACACCAAAAAACAAGATGAATTAATGGATGAATGGAGCCCTGGTGGTGCAGTGGTTAAGAGCTTGACTACTAACCAAAAAGTCGGCAGTTCAAATCCACCAGCTGCTCCTTGGAAACTCTATGGGGCAGTTCTACTCTGTCCTATAGGGCTGCTATGAGTCAGAATCAACTCAATGGCAATGAGTTTTTGGTTTTGTAATGTATGAATAGCAGGACAGACAGATATGTGATAAGCTAAATATACTAAAATGTTAACAAAAAAATCTAAGTGGTAAGTACTACATGGGTGTTCATGTAAAATTCTTTACCTTTGCTGTATGTCTAAATTTTTTTATAATAAAATGTTGGGGAAGGGAGAAGTTAGCTATGTCAAGAAGGGAGCAAAAGGACTCAGAAGAAGCAAAAAAACACAGAGGTATGAAATTAGCTGCTCAGAAGCCATGGTTGCAACAAAAGACACATGTGGGAAAGTGACAGAAGATAATGCAAAGAGGTAGGCAGGCAGCAAATCAGGAAGGGCTCTGAACACTAAGCTGAGCTAAGAAGTTCAGATTTATCCTAAAAACTACAAAGTACCAGTAATGGATTTTAAATAAGGAAGTAGCATAATCAGATTTGCATCTTGGAAAGATTTCTCTGGCAGCAGTGTGGACACTGGGAGAAAAAATGGAGTCAGGGAGGCCTGTTTTGAGAAGTGATACGAGGCTGCTTTTAAGGCAGTAGAGACAAAACCAGTTGCCCTCAAGTTGACTCTGACTCATGGCGACTCCACGTGTGTAATAACAGAACTGTGCTCCATAGAATTTTCAATGGCTAGTTTTTCAGAAGTAGAACACCATGCCTTTCTTCTGAGGTATTTCTGGGTGGACTTGAACTTCCAACCTTTCGATTAGTAACTGAGTGCATTAGCCATGTGCACCACCCAGGGACTTCAGCGACAGAGAAGTAGGGACAAAAAGGTGAATTTACAGGACTTGGGGAGTCTCTCAGTGCAGGAGAATGGAAAAGTCTAGAACGACTTTCAGAAGTCTTAAGTGACAGAGTAGAAGCAGTCTCGTTCACTGATATGAAATACAGGGGAGAGAAGCAGGTTTAGATGAAAAGATGACGAGATCAATTTTGAACATACTGAGTTAGAGGTTTCTGGTTGGAGCCTCATAGGCAGCTGGGTAGAGGAATCCAAAGCTTGGAAGTGAGGCTTGGGATGGAGATAAACCTCTGAATATACAGGAGGCGGCCAAAGCCTGGGTATACACAACATAACCAAGGGAGATGGTCTACAGATGAGACGGCAAAGAACTGGCCACCTCAGGTACATCATCTCAGGCACACCTGAATTCACAGCAAATTCATAGGCAATCAAGCATAGCACTCTCCTGGTGAATCCCATCAAAGCCTCAGAATCCTTCTGTACAGAGGATGCAAGCAACCACTGCCAACTGATCAAAACTGGCACCTATTTGTCATCACACTGTGGAGAGAAAAAGAGGACAGGGACAAAAACAAGAGAGTCCTGGGAACCTAACATTTAGAAGTAAGGCAGAAAAAAAGAAACCAAGGAGTGGCAAAAGATTTATTTTTCTCAAACCCCCTAAAACCTACAATTGTCTGTACCCTGTTCTCAATCCTCTTAGCTCTAGGGTCTGTTCTAGTTAACAAAACCTTTCTCAACTATCTTCTTGTTCTTCAACTCATCAAATACACACACTTCTAGAAAATGCCATGGAGAAAGCTCAGGCATGTAATGGGAAGTGTGAGTATTTCAGTTAGGACGGAAGGGAAGGGACATGAAAGGGAATAGTGAAAGATAAGCCAGAATGCTATAGAGCCATGTAGAAGCCACTGGATCAGGTCCCTAGAAAGACACTGGAGATCCTAGAAAAACTAGTTTCAGCAGATAACAGAAGGAGGAAACCAGGCAGCCAGGGATTAGGAAGTGAGAGAGAGTACTCACTAAATCCTAATTATTTCAAGAATAAGTATTTTCAGGGAAGCAGGGCCAAGATGGTGGAGTAGTCAGACACTTCTGTGGTCCCTCTTAAAACAAAGATCTGAAAAAATAAGTGAATCGATTATCTGTGACAATCTAGGAGCCCTGAACATCCAAGGCAAAGTTGAGGAACTGGACTGAGCAGCAGGGAGAGACAGAGACGGTTCAGAAGCAGCAAGGAGTTGCCAGACCTGACCCGGCAGGAACTGGCACACTGCAGGCTAAATCGGCTGGCATGTGCGGTGAGGCAAGCCGTGGGAAACTCGGGACACGTTTTCCACATCAAGAGAGACTGAACAACGGTGAGTCTACTGAAGCCTCTAGAACCAGTGAAAAGTGGCGTTCAATCAGCAAAAGATAAGTACATGCATCTAACCAACCGTGCGGATCAAAAAACACCCCCTTCGGGAAGAACGACTCTCCCATTTACCTGCCCCCTCCCTGCTCTGCACCGGGTCGCAGGCCAGCTTCAGCAATTGCCATATTCCCTGGGCTACAAGTAGCACCTATCACGCAGCCTAAGCCACTCTCCTGGCTTTGGAGAGGGAACAAACTAGCAAACGGGAAAAAATAATCTACCAGCTCACCTAAGCCAGAAAGTCAGGGCAGACACTGCGCCTTTGCCTAGGCACAGGCATAAGGGGTCCACAGACTTTGAATGCCTTTCACCCCTGCATAGACCTATGTGGGTCCACTTCAACAGCATAGGCCCACATCAGTACAGTAAAATAGGGTACATACCTGAAACCTATTTTCAACTGTACCAGCTACAAGGTGGAGTGGCAGATTCATGACATTAGATACCACTCTGCCCATTAAGCAGGGTCCTCACCTACCATCATCAGGGGTCTGAGGAATGGTAGCTCCACCCATGCCACCAAGCTACCCATGAAAGGGGTCCAACAATAAGCAGTGCCTCATTGACCTTACAACCAACAGCACTGGGTGTCCATAATCTGGCCGCAAAACCCACCCACCTACATGCTCTAGGGAACAGGGACACACTTTCCTCCCAGACACTCAGGGGCAGCCATCAGCCCGCTGCCTTGCTCAGCGCAAGACCCCCTATTGCAGCCAGATACCTGTGCATACTCCAGTCGCCGTGCCTGTCTAGGACTGCAGGTGAGAGACTGCACCACACACTTGGTGACCGACTACCTGGACACCTGAGCTGAATCCATACAAGAAAAGTAAAGTGACTCCTGGGCTCACAAAACTAATAACAGCTCTAATCACCTGGTGACAGGATGTGAGAGCTTCAAAAGCGCCAATAATCAAACTAGCTCACATGACCAGCCTATTTGGGCATATCAAAACAAAACAAGAAGCTAGGACACAGTAAGCAAACATAAATACATGTAATAACTTATTGATGGCTCAGAGATAATAGTCAATACCAAATCACATAAAGAGGCAGACCATGATGGCTTCAGCAAGTGCTCGAAACAAATATTCAAGAAACTTTCCAGAGGAAGAGAACTTCTTTGAATTACCAGAGGTAGAATTCAAAACATTAATATACAGAACTCTTCAAGATATCATGAAGGAAATTATGCAAAATGCAGAACAAGCCAAGGAACACACAGACAAACAATAGAGGAACTTAAGAAGATTATACAACAGCATAATGACAAATTAAACAGGCTGCAAGAATCCATACAGAAACAGAAAACAGAAACCAAAAGATTAACAATAAAATTTCAGAATTAGGCAACTCAATACAAAGTCAAAGGAGCAGAATTGAGGCAATGGAAGTCAGAATTAGTGAGACTGAACATGAAGCACTTGACACCAACGTATTTGAGGAAAAAATCAGAAAAAAGAATTTTAAAAAATGAAGAAACCCTACAAATTATGTGGGAGTCTATCAAGAGGAATAACCTACGAGTGACTGCAGAACAAGAATGGGAGGATAACAGAAAATACAGAGAGAATTGTTGAAGATTTGTTGGCAAAAAAACTTCCCTGATATCATGAAACATGAGAAGATACCTATCCAAGAAGCTCATCAAACCCCACATAAGGCAGATCCAAAAAGAAAGTCAC